TTGCGCGCCCTCTCCGCTTGAAGTTCCAGAGTTGCTGGGCCAATGTGTGATCCGAAGGAAGAATAGGGGGTTTCCCAAAATTAGGGGCACCATTTTGGGGGTCCCCAGAATAAGGACTATAGTATTTTTGGGTCTACATTGGGGTCCCCTTATTTCAAAAAACTACCAATACTTTGCATCTATCCTCGCTGATCTTAGCTGCTGTCCAACAAAAAGGCAAATGGCACCCTTCAGCTCGCAAGTCGAAGAGAGACCTTCCACCTATGTTGGCCCTCTCAAGCCCCAAACCTAATAATATGGTAATTTCCCTATAAATGGTACCCCAATATAGACCCCTAAATACTACAATCCTTACTATGTTGTCTCCCAAAAAAGGTACCCCTAATCTTGGGAAACCCCCATATGGCTTAAACCCTAAATCCGCAAACCCCAAATCCGGTGTTTGAGGATTTCACCTGCTGGCTACCTCCTGGAGCCCTGCCGCAGGCTAAGGGAGAATGTGAGCTCAGATGGGTGATATGAGCTATGGTCTGAACTCCTTAAAGGGGGTTCTATGGGGGATTATATGGGGGACTAATTATAGGGGTTAGTAAGCGGGAGACTAGGAGTTTAGACAATGGGTCATATGAGTAATGAGGGTTTAGGGTTTACGGAATAGGGCTTAGGATCCCAATAAATATAAACTCAATGGAGAATGGATTGGAACAGAACATGGAAAGTGAAGTGCAAGCAGGGTTTGTAGATAGGGATCTATAGGACTCACGTAATGAGGAAGCCTGAATCATTACCAATCCTATTCCCTTTAATATATTCCCTTTTAATGATCCCCATATACTTACTGTACACTCAAGCATGCTCCATATATCTATTGTCAAGTTTGGGCCTCTACAGCACTTGAGGGTTGATGGCTAGCTGTCTTAGTAGCTGAGTACGTGACCGTTTTGAGGGACAATAACCCCTTAGATTACCACGGATACCTCCTTTTCCGTCTTCGTGTCCATTGGATTTTCCCTACCCTAGAAACATCCGCAAAACGTCCCTGAACTCGATGCATCTCAAAAACAGACCCCAGGCCTCCTTAAGTTTCTATGTTCCTGTCCCTCTACTTTCCAGTAATCGTGATCAATCACCCCCACTCCCCTAACACGCTCCCAGTTTAACCTCAGAGCTTAGGATACGCGCTCTAGCGGTCTTTGACCTGGGCTTCATGTGCCGCACTTAGTAGAAGCAGCTGTATCAGGGTTAAGGGCGTAGGGCTTAGGGATCCGGGACGGCGGGATTTTACCAAACGGATGCAGCTTCCAGGACACATCATGACATATTTACGGCCTCTTTAAAGGTGTTATGAGGCTGCATGGGGTGTAGGCTTTAGAGTGTAGGGTTTTTTGGTTCAGAGTTTCTGAAAAATGGGGGCAGCCCTAGTCAAGAAGCGGAGACGTCTTCAAGCTCCAGGGGTCCCTACCCAGCAACTCCTTCATGTTTAGCAAGAGTGCCATCTTTGTGCCATCAAGTCCTACATTCCTTAAAAGAATTTCCTCAAAGACCCCCCAAATCCAGGAGTATCCTAAACCCTAAACCCTAAGCGCAAGAGAACTATCCTGAAAGCCTTGAGTAGAGGAACCACCGGAATCCCGTCTTTGTGGCGGCTGTCATTGCCCGGCCCCAAGTCCGCCATTGCGTAAAAGCACCTACCCTTAGGTACGTTGGATGTAGATAATGCTTCACATATTTGGATGTGTGTTGCAAGTAGCAAGACGAATACGATAAGAACATGCATGGCAGCTAATCATGAAACGTACAAGAAGTGTTTGGTATGAGTGTATAGTGAACGAGACATAACTAGTATGATAATGAAGGCAAACACAACTCCATATGCATGTAGCATGCGGAAAAGTGCGAACGAGTCATCTAGCTTCCGCCACCAAAGCAGGCGTTGGGCAGAAGATTAAACAGGATTTGAGTTCCTTGGCTTTGCTGGACGCAGGAGTCCGGATAATTTCCAGAAACAGTTACTCGGATTCAAGGGATTCAACCTAGGTAGGGCAAAAGCCCAAATTACAGGCAGATAATGTCCGCAGTCTTCCTTCTTTGCTATAGATATGATAGATGACACTCATGTTTCGTACTCCTGCTTCTGAAAATGACTTCTGAAACGAAATAGCCACATAGAAGCGATAGGGACCGCTGAAAATCGACCCGCCTCTTGTGCCCGGCATTGATCAGAAGAGGTTGTAGTCGACGCGGATACAGATCTCGAGACTTTTTCGGACGGGCTATCCTACTCAACTTGGTACTTAGTGGGGATTTATCCGAACGAGGCTCTTCTACCTCCCTCCCCCCTCCACCACACCCCCAAAACAGTCCTCATTGTACTGCCGCCCAAACTGTTCCGCGGTTTTGGGAAGGGCCTGCTAAGCAGATGAAGTGTTTGCACGCATGTGGAAGGAACTTTATGATTTGGCGTTAGATAGATGTGTAGGAAAGGAGGTTATTTCAACAAGGAAGGAGTATGCCCGCAGAAAGTCTAGAGAAGGGACTATTCAGCGAATGGTATGCGTTGAGTTTTTCATCTTACAGGAAACTTTCATCCCCAGTCTCGACCCCAAATCTTATTGGCCTGGAAGCCTCAAACATGGCCCGAAACCACAAAAACCTTAAGGCCCAAGCCTTAGACCTGAAAGCCCCCCAAAGCTTGGAGCACTTAAGGTTTAGGGTGAAATGGGGGTTATATAGGGGGTTACATCGGGACAATGGAAAAGCGCATGGAAATTGCTATAGTATAGGGTTTAGCTTGTAACGCTCTACAAACTGGCCTTCTTGATCCCATGCCAGGCCTCCGTGATTTTAGATGTTGCGCGAAATGCCACGGTTTGGTGTTCCATCTTGGGCATCCTAGGGAACAAGTGGTGGGGGCCTGAGATATGGGAGTTTAGGGGTGAAGACTAGGGATTGATGGACTTCATAGGAATGTATATTACCTCAGCAATGGAAAATGGCAAGGATACTACAATATGGGGTTCAGGGTTTCGAGTTCCGCAATGTTCTGTATGGTTTCGTAACCGTTTCTTTTAGCGTTTCATGCTAAATTATACTGTTTGCTGGGGTCTGATAAGGTTGTTCTCAAAGGTAGTATTTACGTTAGAGCTCCTCAATGGGGTTTAGGCATTTGGGGGCCTCGGAGCTTATACACGCTTTCTGAAACTAGGCGTTCTCCGAGGGATCCTACGCACACTAGTGGGTTACAAAGAGATTATGGGCCAGATTTAGTTTTGAGAACCCCACACCCAGTAGCTGGCATTTCAAGGCCATGTTAACATCCGAAACCTCAAGCTTTAGCCTTTGCCCTGGGATAAACCTACCTTAGACCTTGGGGATCCTCCGAATTTCTGCTCAGGCCCTTGTTTGAATTCCAGTTGCAGGGTTCTTTCAACGCCTTCCCCTAATCTGTACATGTGTCTCTACGTCTTGACTACCAACTACATACGCCCAGTTGGATAATAGCCTTTCTTTGGGGGCGTTTCTTCCTAGATAGTCGGGGTCATTGTTTATTTCTGGGCCATGAAGCCATCAAAAATGCAGCCCAGATAGCGGCTAAAACATTGGGCAACGCTTTGTTGACAGGTACGCGCTGAAGGGGGGCTACTTGTGCATGGTCGTCGGAAACTTAGACCCAGCAGCTTTCTGATGCTGCCGGCTGGGTTGCTGGCTGCAGGACTTGTGCCAGTCAGCAGACTTTGTCTTTTTCGACTGCCGCCATATGACCGACTACAGTCCTAGCGGAGTGTTGCTACATTTTGGGTCAGAGAGAGCTAGTCAGTGTGGACACCGTCCAACCGTGCTGCGGTGTCCAGCGTGCACCCCATCCTGAGTGACTTGCCAGCTTCACTGGTGTAATGTTGGAGAGCTTGAATGATGTTTGGATATGACAAGTTGATGGCATCCGTTGTCAATGCTTCCGCAGATCCTTCTGAAGGCTTGCAAAGCCCAAGGTGGTGGCCGTCAGTTCGGCGGCGTCGCCATTGGTCACCAATGAGATATCCATGCGTGTGACGGGTGTGCGCGGGTCTTAGACTGCAAGCAGCCGTAGGGTATGACATTGAAGTTGAGTGTTTTAGCCTGATTCTGAGTGATCACTTCTCATTAAGGTTGCGAGGATCAATATTTGGACGCTAGACCCGGCAGGCTTTGTGAGTCTTAGTATTTGGCTGAGGATTGCACCTGAGCATTAGATCTTTCTTAACTCTGCAGCCTCGCTCAAGTACAGTGAGGCTCTGCACACATTCAGGCCCCTTTTTGAAGATTCCTCTTTCGCATAGCAAGCTTCGTTGATTTTGCTCTAGCCGTCAAAAGCCAAACCCGCTGAGGCTTGACTAGATGTGCTAGCAGGAGTCTGGGCATCGGCTCCCAGGAAAAGCAAGCGTAAACACAGCTGCATGAATCATTTCAATGATAGCCTGCTCTCAATGTCCTGCTGCTGGCGGCATGCGTGTCTGATAACGCAGGGTAGCGGCATCTTGTGCAGCTTCCTAGACACAAAGCATGCAAAGGGAAACGTTCATCAGACCAGCGTAACCTCAAAGGAACGAGGATACCTTATTTGGTCTGGCCCTACAATTCAAAAACACCCCACGCAATCCCCATGATCCTTGAAAACTCTGAACTTTGCGTCCTAGTAGCTATCCAAGCTCAAGCTATTACCCTTACAACTTCTTAAGCTAAATCCTAAGCCCCCAGTAACTACATGTCCACGATATCGCCCCTGTGTCCTCTATGGAATTCGCTGCAATCCATATTGAGTAACAGTTTACATAGAAATTCCCCTTTCTCCTAGGAGGAGTCAGATTTGAATCGAATCTTCTGCCTTAGCCCCTGAGCCCTAAACTCCGATCCCAAAATCTGGACCCTAAAAGCCCAAACTGCAAAGCCTAAACCCTTAACCCTACAACCTAAACCCTGAACCTTAAACCCTGAACCCTATTAGTTCCCAATACTGCCGGAAGGTCTTTACTGCAGTCTTCGCACACGCTGCAGAGCTCCGCGACCCGGGGGTCCATGGGCCAGGCTATGCCGTCTGAACTTTAATGGGTTTGGGATTTCGGGTTTAGGGTTTGGGATTTCGGGTTTAGGGTTTGGGATTTAGGGTTTAGGGTTTGGGATTGTTGTTTTAGGGTTTAGGATTTAAGTTTTAAGGTTTGGGGATTTAGGGTCTAGGGTTTGGGATTGAGGGTTTAGGATTTAGGATTTAGGGAAGGTTTAGGGTTTAGGGTTCAGGTATACATAGGTCACTTTGGTAATATTACATGCTGCTCTATGTTGGAACAACCGATGCAAGCGATATTGATTTAATTACTTGGTTCAACCATCAGAAATGACAGCTCGTCAGGGCATAGGGCTTAGGGTGGTCTAGGTTTCAGTGTAGAGGGGCTATATTATAAGGTCTAGGCTAGTACAGTATCAGGCTTGGGGTTTGGGTATAGGGGTTAAAGTTATATAGAGTTACATAGGCAGTAGGGGGATGATACAGGAACTTGCGCAGGATGTCGGAGAGCATAATTTATCGGACGCGGGGATTGTGAATTAAGGGACTGGGGGTGTAAAGAGACAGCTCACCATACTAGCCGTCCTAGCTTGCATCCTTATTGTTGTGATTGGATTTGGGGGTTACATGTCTTGGAGTTGGGGCTTGCTGTTTCAGCTTGAGCTTTGCTTTGGAGTGTGGGGTTGAGGTTGAGGGATTGTCGTTCAGGGTTTAGGGCTTGGGGCTTCAGGATACTGTATCCTTCAGGTCAGAGTTTAGAAGAAGAAGTCATGGGTCAACTCACCGTCCCTTGTCTATTCTTCAGCGCATGTTTTGCACTGGAAGTCACTTCTGGAATCGCTATGCGCTGTGTATCACCGCTCCAGTGCAAAGTTTTGGGACCAATACCCTCCTCTCAGTATGAGTGTGATGCTCATGCCTCTATGCCTACGTTGGCTTCATGGAATGGAGCGGCGCTGAGCTTTCAAGTCATCTTGGAAGCATCCTTGGGTGTTGAAGGAGGGGCCGAGGACTGGAGCGGACATTGTAATGCCGGAGAAGTGACCTCAAGTCCCACGAGTCCTAAGCAGACCAGACCCAACATGCTGCACTGGACGCCTGGAAGACTCAGACAGCAACGTGGCATGTAAACTCTAAATCCCGAAGCCGAAACCTTAAACCCCATACCCTACACCCCAGACCCTAAACCGTTGAGTAGCTTCTACCTTCTTTTCCCTTTTTGATGTCCAAAGCCAAGAGGCTGTGGCGTCCGCTGTACTCCCCTTGGCCGCCACGGCCTACGCCTTTCAGCTACTTGCCATGCGCCTGCCCCAGGGGTACAGAGATATACGTGGTCATATACAGTAGGATTATTACGGTATATGTAGGATTATAGAAGGATACATAGTGATACATAAGGTTTTCTAGGCTTAAGGGTTTTGCCTCCCCCAAAGTAATCCAACACCCTAAACGAGTCCAACAGAGACGACTGCCCTCTAAAAAGGGGGCTATTGGCTGCAGGATACTGGGGGTTTGGTGTAACCGCTGGGGCGTCATGAAATGAAATAGTGTCTGCTTTTAATTTTGGTGGGTACCTGGAAGATAGATCCTGCTTGGAATGACACATCAGCGAATCCTCAATCAAACGTCCTCGATCTGACGATTTCCGCAGTACTTGTCTGATCTGCAGTACCTTATCCAGTGGGCGCAAGCAGGGATGCAAGGGCGAATGCAGCAGAGCGCCCGACAGGGTTGACAGTCTCTTTGGGTACAGGGCTTGGCGATCGGCATGCAGGCATGTTCAGAAGTTCGAAATGGAGCGGAGGTGAACAAAACAAGCATCTTTCAGGCATATGGGCGTTGCCCAACTTTTTGTGTACTTTCTGTGCAGGGGTCCTCAAAATGCAAAGGTTATCGTATTTCTGGTACGTATTGGGTTTCACAATGTTTTAATGGAAAGGACCATGCGGGTTGTCGTGTCTTTTTGAATTGCAAAGGCTCAACTCAGCCTTTTGCTTAGACCCCTTTATTGAGATCAAACTAGATGCGAACATCTAGTGGGCATAATGCGATATTGGCAAGTCCATTTGATTGTCCACTTGATTTTCCATGATTGGTACTTATTCAGGCCCCTAAACCCCACCTAAACCCGAGACCCCTAAACCCTTAACCCAGGTACTTGGGTCCTGGTATTTTGAACTGAGGCGTTACTTCAACGCAGACACGGTGAGCTACAAGGGGTCGCTCCGGCATGAGACGGTAAGGGTTTCTTGATCCCAAGCCCTCAAAATGGACGCTATGACTATCACATATGCCTTTTGCAGGGGCATTGGGGGTACCAAAATCCTCTATCATGAGTGGTTAGAAGCAGTTCGGGGGTCAACATCTAGGTCTCCAAATGGAGCAGTCAGGGGGATGCTCTTGCAGCCAAAGTACTATGGAAAGCTAAATATGTTCGGTGATGATGCCCCCTCGTGGTCTTTATGTAGTTACAAAAAGTTTTGTATATGTACAAGCATCTTGAAGAAATCCTGAGCTTCCCAAAGTTACCTTCCTAAGTCCTTAAGAGGGCCTCTGTAGCCTCTTTCTAGTCCTTAACCCTTAACGCTTTAAACCAACATCCTAAGCCCTAAACCCTGAATCCTAAACCTTAAAGTCTAAGCCCTAATGGATGCGAATGATCGAGGTCGTTTTTGGTGCATAGATGTAGGACTCACTAGGATGGGCCCATATCATAGCATTGTTTTTTGGGGATTCTGAAGGAGCTGCATTGGGATTCTTGAGCAGCGGTTTGCGTGAACTATGCTTGAGATTACATACTTGAAAGATTCTCTAAGAGAAGCACAGCAAAGCAGCAAAGCCTATGTTCACTTTCCATCCCATTTATTGGCAAGATCTCTTGCTGGCTACACATAACATCAGTGACGCCATCATGATACTGGTGTTGGGAACACCCTGCTGGATTTGTAAGCATGCAGCCTTGGCAGGCTGAGACTTCGTAGGGCTTCGGAAATGCAAGTGCAAGCAGGGGATGTCCCTGGGAAAAGACGCTTACTTTGCCCACATCCTTTATCCTAAAACCTACCCTAAGCAATGTCAAGGTATCCTCATCCTGCGCCAGGCATGGGTCCCGACTAGCAGACGGCGCCGAGTTTGGCACAGAGGTGTCTTCGGTGCGGCTTGTCGTGAAGGAGATGAAGAGGACTGACATCTCATTGCTCAGGAAGTAGAAGTAGTAGAAGCAGTAGTAGTCGTAGTAGTAGTAGTAGTAGTAGTAGGAGTAGCAGTAGTAGTAGTAGTAGTAGTAGTAGTAGTCGTAGTAGTAGTAGCAGCAGTAGCAGCAGCATTGGCAGTCGTAGTGGCAGCAGCAGCAGTAGCAGTAGCAGTCGTAGATGCTCCTCTTATCCTACAGCATCAGCCCTCCTCCTGACATGCCAGGAAACGCAAAGAGAAAGCGAGGCAGCTCCTGAACAACAACAGCCAAAGCAGCCTCCCAAGAGGCTTCTGAAGGGCATTCTGGAGTGCTCCGCAACGCAGCTTCGCCATCTGCTTACTAGAGTGTCCCAAACAAAGGCCGACATGCACCATTTCTAAGTGGTAGGGTTCCAGGAATAGATTAGGGCAGTTGTGGGCCACTGTCCGGCCTGTGATGGGTCTCATCATGGATTTCGAACTAAAGAGGCGTTCTCTTAGGTCAGTTTTGGTCGGAGCTCACACGAAGCTGAAAGCTCTAGCCCTCGGCGGCCTGCAGAACTTGCATAAACATGGTGTCTCGCAATTCGAGCTCCAAGGTTTTGACGTTGGCACGCAGCGCGCGTGGTTCTCAAATATCTTGCAGGTGCCCAAGTCTTGCATCTCCCACCATCCACGTGTGATCGTGACTGACTCTTGTAGACCTGCTTTGGTGGCCAGACAGAGAATCAATCATCAATTTAATTAGGTGCTATCCTTACTAGTGGCCTGGGAATGCAGGAATTTGCTATGCACTGGGACCATGACAAAAGGTCACATAGTGGCTGCTATCGGCATTCATTCCTCCATGCTCCATCTACTACCCGTAAGCAGCGGTGCTCGGCAGCTTGCACCCTGAACCCCTAAACCCTGGACTCTTAAACCCCTAGACCCTAAACCCCCAAACCCAAAACCCCTAAACCACCTAAACCCTAGACCCAACCCCTGACATCCCCTAACCTACGTTCCGTTTTTACCAAGTTTCAGTCCAACCTCGCCAACAAGCCCTGGCCAGTCAGCGGCCCAAGTTAAGCTCAGGGGTTGGTTCAGAGTTTAGGGTTTAGGCTTTGGAATTTGGGGGTTTAGGGTCTAGGGTGTAGGAGTTCAGGCTTTGAGGTTTAGGGCTTGAGGGCTTAGGGTTTAGGGCTTATAAAGGGTTTAGGGGCTTGATAGGGTTTAGGGGTTGTACAGGGTGTCGGGCTTTCATCAGCTTGATCTCCTGCCTTTGAATGCTAACAAAACCCCCTAGTAATAAATGCTCCCAATATAGTACCATGACATACTGTGGGGATCGGGAGGGTGTGGGGGGTATGATTCACGAGATACTAGAGGGAATGGCGGTTTCTCAAAACTGGGGCCTTAGTTACAAGGGATTTGCGAAAGGGATGATGGGGGGTCCGTATTGCGGGGATTCTTATTAGAGGCAGTTTTGAGAGCTTCCAATGAATATAGTAGGGTAAATGCATCGATTCGACAACATTTAGCAATCATTAGCCGGCAGCTCCAGATGCAAGGATTGTCCTTTCTTTGGCAAATCCTTAAGGCCCAATTCGTCTTGCACTCTGACGCCTTGTTGCATGACCTCATGCCCCACCCTGAAAACATACATAAATTCGCCTTATAGATAAACTCCTGGCTTCTCGAAACGCTTCTGAACAGTCACTTGTAGATGGAGTAAGGCTAGACCTCCTACACCAGACTATGCAACACGACAAGTACTTGTTTGTGGGGCGGCCCAGGTCTAACCCTCAGTTCGAGCTGCCGCCCAACTCCAAAGCTGCAGCACCGGACTGCTCCACAAGGGCTTAGCCAGTTGCGGAGTCTTTCTGGGGCTGCCTCAATCAGTCAGTGCTTTCTGTGTGTCTGTCTAGGGGAGCCTTCTTCAAGGACTGTTTACGTTTTTCCTTTTTCTAGTCTTCTGGCAGGCCTAAGTCAGCCGGTGCAACCGAGGCGCCATCGCAAATTTGATTGTTTTCAGCAAAAGGTGACACTCCAGAAACAGGTGGTGATCTCAATTTGTCGCTTTGGCGGAGGGGTTGTCTTTCTGTTACATGGTTTTTAATGGAGAGTCCGTCCAATGCGTGCGTGGTCCTCGCATGCAGCGTTGTAAAACATATACTGTACGATGCAGCCAGACTGTGATCACGTTTGGATGTTCTGACTCACCAGGATGACTTCAAGTGGGTATTGCGACATGATTTGCTCGCAAATCTGCACTTCCACCCTTCAAGTTTCGCCAGATTTGAACCGGCGATTTTTTTGTGATGTGGTCAAGCCTATCAAGTGCGACCCTGCCAGGACGAGAAGCCTTACCTGGTGGAGTACAGCGAGTCCTGGGGAAAAGTCTTGGAGAGTTACATGGAGGGCAAACACATAGAGGACCAGCACTGGATGTGAACTTCAGTGGGGTTTGCGGGGTTGGGTCTAAACCCTAAACCTTGAACCCCTAAACCCTGGACCCTGAACCCATGCTTTCCTGCGGGCCTCCAGTGCTGAGAAACTTCCGCCTTTGAGTACATCCTGTGTTTTTCTGCTTAGGCTACGCCTTCTATCGCGAATTCCTACGGGAATAGGAGTATCCATTTCCTAGAAACCTAAACCCTACACCCAATCCCTAATGCCACGACGGCTTTTGAAGTCACTACTCATAAATGCGGTAGATCTCGCAAAAAGCAGAGCCAGTTTCCTGTAAATCATTTAACAGAAGGGTTCTAAAGGGGTCTATAGTAATCAGGGTTAGGGTTTGGAGGTGTCTATAGGGATTATGTACTCCTATCCCCTTAGGAGCATTTTTCTTATTGTATAACCCAGAGGAACTCTTGAACATATTCATTTTCAATCTAGGTGTAAGGAGATTACGGGCAAAAGACCTCTCCAAGAGCATATCCTGAGCTTATCAACTTTGTTCCCTCAGTCAGAACATTAGACCCTAGTCTATTCCCCTAATAATATCAAGCCCCTCTCACAAAGAATCATCCCAATATAGGACAACTATGCTTATGCGAACTCTTATCAGGGGCAGTTGGGCATTTTATCAGTACGAGGAGAGGAATTTGCTCATCCTTGTGCTTTCCTCCCCCAGCCCCCCCTTCATTCTCGCATCATTATAAACAAACCTATACGAAGCTATATAGCCCCTTAGACCCTGCTTAACCCTATATAACCCCAAACCCTATATAACCGTAGATAACCCATCACGTACCCCACATAACCTCTAACCTCATTCTGTCAGCGGGATAGAGGATATAGGATACAGACTCCGCGCGTCAGGTACTCCGCGCGTCAGGTACCCGCTCAAGGTGGATATAGGATAGATATTCCACGCGTCAGGTACTGCGCG